ATATCCCGGGAGCAAGGCAGCATGGGGAGGAGGTAGAGAGACAAGGAATGGCAGGTCTTCAAGTGGGGTGCCCAACAGCTAGACTAGGAGTCAGGCCACTTGGAACCCCTGGCTCAGCCCAGGCTGGGCTCCTTCCAGCACTGTCTGTTGGGAGCATGGTCAGTGGCTCTGACTAATCCACCAGGGTCTCTGCTACAGGTGAAGGTGTCCCCCTTCTTGGCCCATGGCAAGGTGATGGCAGGACCAAGCTCAAAGTGAACATTACCTACAGCAAGAAGCACTACCTTCACATCTTCCCACGGCAGGCTGCGGTGAACTGATTTTCCAAGACCTGGCCTGCCTTGCTGAAGAGCCCATAGGAGTTCTGTTGCCTTTCTAGAAACTAATATTTAAGGGAAAATCCTTGTAGGCTATGGAGCAGTCATTGTCAGGCCCTGGAATGCAGAATAACAACTAGAACAGAGATGATCAAGGGGAAGAGTTTGACTTAAAGAAGTTGAAGGATTTGGAGAAGTCTGGGGAGAAGCTAACCAACTGAGGGGTGAATAAAGAGCTCATAGTTGAGCAGGATTTTCTGGCCAAGGATTTGTAACCTGAAACTCTCTGCAAACTTGATAGGAGGGAAAACAACTGAACAACTGGAGGGGAATTTGCAAATCTATTATGCCAGAAAATTTCAAAAACAGAAGACCAAAAAGGAAGAGATGGGTGAAAAAGATTCCAGTGCTCCTAGCTGATCCGGCCCCCCGCCACAGAGCACAGCATTTGCCAGGACACAGAAGGCTGCAGTTCGGGACCTTGGCCCTGGCAGAGTGGGTGAATGTGGAGAGAGGCCCTCTCCCCCCTCCATAGGTTAGCAGTCAGCCAACTGCCACTTCCATCCCTATACTGGTTTTCTACAAAAAGCATTGTCTTCACAAACTTGCATACAGCTCCTGCCAGCTTTTCATGGTCTCTGTGTGTTTACTCTGTTCTGTATCCTCACCTTGTTTAGAGGGGCTTTCTCTGCCCACGTTACGCTGGCTCTTTTGACCTTTGGAACGTTTCCTAGCACAAGCGAGGCCTGAAATGTCCTGGGACCACCCCAAGCTTACAGGCTATCCTGGTCATCTGATACAACAGGGCCATTTGTTCCTCTGTAATCCTGTAGCTCCCTAAATGTAAAAGCAAAATCACTAGAAAGTAAAGTCTAGCCAAAGAAGGGGAAGAATAGCTGCTGGTTCCTCTGAAATCCTGTAGCTCCCTAAATGTGAAAGTAAAGTCTAGCCAAAGAAGGGGAAGAATAGCTGAAAACAGGTATCTGGCTCTAATGTCTTTCAAGCATCCTTTGTTGGGACCTATTTCCTATTCAGTTATCGAAATTACCTTATGCTCTACCAACCCCATCCAGTTGGAACCTGGGAACTCAGGGGACACTCCCAGCTGGGACCTGTGCCCAATGATTAAACTTCTTTGCCCCCAAACAGATCTCCGTAGGGGTGAGCCCAGAGCTGCAGGAGTCTCTGCTTAAAACCAGGCCAGAAGCATGGCTTGGGTAGGGCGGAGAGGAGAGCAAACATGAGGACATCAAGGTGGTGTAGAAGTCAACCACCTACTTCTCAGGAGAGAGACAGGTTTCTTTCAATGTCATTGCTGTTACCCATTTCCTTCTGTGACTTGCATTTTCTTTAAGGGCATTTTCACTTGTTTTGTGGCCTATTTTTTTCCATGATACTACAATTGCCTGGGGCGGGGCGGGCTATAAGGAGTCAATGGAAGAAAAAAGGGGACATATGTAATACTTTCAACAATAAAGATTTTTTAAAAAAATAAATAAACAAAAAGAAATCAATTTTGAACGTGAGTTAACAATCAGAGAAGTGTTTATATATGTGTATATTACATACATATTTCTATTTTTAAGTACGGAAAGAGTGCTTTATGGTTCAGTTGTATCTTATTTTAATAAAGTCATAAGTGATAAATAAACAAAAAGAAATCCATTTTGAACGTAAGTTAACAATCAGAGAAGTGTGTATATATATGTGTATATTACATAAATATTTCTATTTTTAAGTACGGAAAGAGTGCTTTGTGGTTCAGTTGTATCTTATTTTAATAAAGTCATAAGTGGCACTGAATAGGTAGAGTCTTATGGTCTTGCCTTAAAACAGAGCTGCTGCCTCCACTCTTTAAGCCCAGTGCCTTGAGGGACTAACTCCTCATGCACCTACTCTGAGGCAGGTCTTGGGGGTTGGGGGGAACAGAGGGGATCCCATTGAAGTCCCAGAATTTTAGGACTGGAAGGGTGGGGCTACAGAAGATAGTAGAGGGGTAAACAAGTGAATGGGATTCCAGGCCCAATCTCTGCTCTTACTCTCCTTCTTCAATTACAGTAGCTCAGTTTTTCTGTATTTATATATACCGTAAGCTATGTGGCCTCAGGTAAGTTTCAAATGAGTGTAGCACCTACCTCCTATAGTTGATGAAGTAAAGTGAGTGACTTTAGGAAAATACACCTAGAACAGTGTGGGACACACAGTGGATGTTCAAAATAAGTTAGCTATTATTCTGTATGGATTCCACACTAGAGTTTGTTAGAGAAAAAAGTTTGGAAGTCTGTTTTGGACCATTTCCCTCATTAAAAAAAAACTGAAAAATAACTTTGTTAAAGTATGTAAATGCAAAAAATATGTTTTAAAAATATGTAAATCCATTTGTATAAGAAAAATTCAAGCAAAATACCAGAGTAGAACGAAAAAAAATTCTTTGCTTCTCCACCTACTCTCACTCCAGCTTCCTTCCCCAGAGACATCCACTGTTATCATTTCCAGACCTTTTCCTTACACCCTTACATACATAAACATGTTTTTTGCTTTTTACATAAATGGCATTATACCATATGCATTGGCCTGCAAACTTACATTTTTCACTTAGCCATAACTGAGAAGTGTCTTTTTTTCCTGTGATAGCACATCTAGATCTACCTCCCATTCTACCACTTTTTAACTGCTGTACGCTACTCCACAGGACGGGTAGGGCAGAGAGGAGAGCCATTCTTTATTTAACCATTCTTTAAGGATAAACATTACAAAAATCTCTATTTTTTTTTAATATATATTTTATTGATTTTCCACAGAGAGGAAGGAAGAGAGATAGTTAGAAACATCGATGAGAGAGAAACATCGATCAGCTGCCTCCTGCACATCTCCTACTGGGGATGTGCCCGCAACCCAGGTACATGCCCTTGACCGGAATCGAACCTGGGACCTTTCAGTCCGCAGGCCGACGCTCTATCCACTGAGCCAAACCGGTTTCGGCAAAAATCTCTATTTTATTTTTGTTGGTTTGTTGTTTTTTTTGCTTTTAAGGCTGCAGTTCACCTTTTTCTTGGTATGGATTTTTCTTTATAGACTTCACAGCTAGATGTGAAATTGTTACCTCATAGTGCATGCACATTTTTCTTTTTTTTTTTTTTTAGAGGAAGGAGAGGGAGAGAGAGAGAGAGAGAAACATCAATGATGAAAGAGAATCATTGATCGGCTGCCTCCTGCACACCCCAACCTGGGGATTAAGCCCACAACCCAGGCATATGCCCTGACTAGGACTCGAACCATGATCTCCTGGTTCATAGGTCAACACTCAACCACTGAGCCACTCCAGCTGGGCATGCACATTTAAGTTTTTTGATACATAATGAAAATTTGCTCTCTAAAAAGGCGGTATCAATTTGTATACTAGTACTAAAACCCTTTCTTGTTATTCTTATAATATTTTTTGCCAACCTGAAGTATGGAAATTAATATCTTGTATTTTTTTCACATATTAGCCAACTGTATTTCTTCAATGAATTTCTGCTTGACTCTACTCCTTTTTCTTGGGTTATCTTTTTCATATCAACTTGTAAGAATTCTTTATGTATGCTGGATATTAATCATTTGTCTTATATAGCTTAAACTGTTTTTTCCCTAGTTTGTGGTATGTCCCTTAATTATGTTTGTGGTCTCTTTTTCCACACAGTCCTTTTCTTTATGGCTTCTGGGTTTTATGTCTTGTTTAGTCCCCCTAGTACACCGTTATTAAAGGAGAGTCTATTCTTTTCAGTTAACTGAGAAGGCAGTACACTGAGTTACAGCAAAGTCAAAACTGGACCACAAGTCTCTCTTGGTTGCTGATCCAAGGATTTTCCTACCCAATCACATTGCTTCTCTGTTGTTACCAGCAGTTTCGTGTGTGTGTTTTTTTTAAATCCAGTTTTAAAGGAAACTCAAGAGCAATAACTCTCTCAACTTTGATTTCTTCCTCCCTCCCTCCTCATTCCTGTCTGCCTGCACAAGGTCTGTGTGCTCTTTGCATGACTAGGAAGTAGAGATGAGTCAGCCATGATTCCTGCACTCAGGGAGCTCAAGTCTCTGTGTGTGTAATGCTGTAAACAGAAACTACCATAAAACATAATAATTTTGTTTCCCCATGGATGGGAAATCTGAAGAAAGTATATTATGTGTTAGCAGGGAACCTGGGTTTCCAAAAAAGAGGTTTTCAGAGAGACACTTTGGGCCTGGTCTTTGCTTACATGGAGAGTAAGTGATTGAACCGCCACAGTCCAGCTTTCCAGGGGGGAAAGCCCTCTGGCCTGTGTCCTTTGTGTTTCATCTTTTGGAATCTCTCTGACATGCAAGTCTGTACACGTGGCTTTGAAGTTTATAGAGACACTTGACCTGGTTTGCTCACCAGAGACATTAAGAAGCCAAACCTTGTAGTAAAAACATATCCTAATTATAATAAAATTCAATAGTTAATAAAGTAATAAGGTATTTGTGACTAATTAAGTGAGGTCTCTGTGACTCACAAAATTGTGTCTGTAAAATGGGGCCCATGCTTAGATAAAATGATAGGCCATTCTAAAAACATGGACTACTGTATAAGGGACAAACGAGTCACCATACCATGAAAGACTGGAATAAAGCCCAGCCACCCAACCCATGGGTTTCATGCTCCAACCTTCCTCAGGGAGTTCTTACCAGGGCACCATCTGTCAGAGTGCAGCCAGAGAAGCGTTTTGCAAGAAATCCCTCAAAGTTAGTTGTTCTCTGAATAGCAAAAAGAAGCAATTTCACTTCAATTTCCTTAGCTCTGGTCCGCATAATCTTGGCAAGTTCTGTCCTTCAAAATAGAGATAAGAATATTGTCAAACAAATGGATCATTCAAGATAAGACAAAGTAAATGCTTTTTTTATATTTTTTTAATTTTTAAAAAACTTATTGATTTGGGAGAGAGAGAGAGAGAGAGAGACAGACATTGATTTGTTTTTCAACTTATTTATACATTCACTGGTTGCTTCCTGTATGTGCCCTGACTGGGGATAGAACATGTAACCTTGGAGTATGAAGACAATCCCCTAACCAACTGAGCTATCCATCCAGGGCACAAAGTAAATGATATATATATATATA